GAACTCGTTGCATCGGTTGTCACATATGGACGCTTGGTTAAGACCCGTTGGTGTCGGTTTATAACGCACTGGGGAGCCTCTTAGCATCACTGTAGAACGCTACAAGTAGGCGTCTTATATAAATAACAGAAAAGTCAGAGTAAGGAGGTGGTTGGGGTGGAAGCGTGGGTCCGAAACCAGACTTTGCTATTCGTTTCCTGTATGAAACAAAAAGTCAACATTGAGTCTTTGTAGTTATGTTAGGTAAGGAACATTACTTAACTTACGTACTTATTTTAACTCGATGTTAACGATGTTTTTTTTAAATTTTAAGTAGTTTTAGTGCCTAAACCTGACCGAATTGTGACGTTTCACAACATTAACCACTAGTTTTATTTTGAAAATCTAACCGGACATTGCATATTTATTATCCGTAACAAAATTACGCTAAAGGGTACCCGGGGCGTTAAAACACGACGGCAAGGGGTCTTGACAAAAGCTAAATTCCTTATTCTCAGAAAAGATTTTTTCTCACTCCCAGACTCATCACACATGTACAAGACCCATGTAGGTATTTAACAGAAAAGAGTAAGGTGGTTGTGGTGGATGGAGGGCCAGAACCCGGACTTTGAACCAGAAGACCGGTCACGGTTTGTGTCCCGTGTGAAACAAAAAGTCAACATTAAATATTTTATTCAAGTTACGCAATTGACGTTAGTTTACTTACTTGTTAACTGACAAACGTAGTTATTTTACCCCAAACCAGGATCTTTCCCTAAAACTAACCACGTACTTTTTGTGCTTTGTGTTTCGCAACGCTAGCGTTTTATTTTGAAAATGAGACCGCACGCTGCATATTTGTTGTTGCTAAGCGTTGCTAAAATGACCTTAAAGGGGTACCCAGGGCGTTAAAAAGCGACGCCAAAGGGCCTTGACCAAGCGTCAATATGCGATGAGTCGGGAGTGAGAATAAGATTTCAGACTCCATCTTTGTAGTTTTTTTCTTCTCTGACCCAGAACCTCTCTTCTGTCCCTCGTTTTCTCCTCCTCATCTCTCTGTCTCTCCCTCTTACTCTCTTGTCTCTCTTTCCTCTTTCACTTTCACTGCCAACACACACATCCTGCCTGGGGGAAGGTTGCTGGTGTTGTGGTCACCAGAGGCCCGTGCAGTGTGTCCACTGCAGAGGGAGTCTCAATCTCTGGCTGGAGGACCCAGACAGGGTCGCTGAAGGACACAACATGCTATATATCTTTCAACCCCAAAGAAAGTACATTTCATTTTAAGCACGCTAGCCAAAATTAGCATCCCAGTTAATATCACAGCTAACATGATTTACAGATGCACCTTACTAACCAAGCTAGCTAGCGCCACCCTTTCGTCTAACTATGGTCACATCCGGTCACGTCTGGTTCAGGAATGGGCTACAAACTCTCGTTTCGTTACTGACAAACAACCTTGTAACCTTGTAAAAAAAAACAAGATGGCAACGGCCAAAATGCCAAACTCGAGGCTTCAAACAGTAGACCACAAACCAACGAGTGACGTTATGGTGGCTTCTTTTAAACAGTCTGTGGTGTAAACACTCTGTTGCAGACCAGAGCCATGAGACTTTTTGTTGGCGCAGCTATGCAGCTACGAGAATTACGGTGTTTCTGCTGTTCTACGTCATTAAACCACGGTTATGCTGCGCGACCATGTAGACCCAGTAGACGCTGATGCCAACAGGAAGTAGCCCTGTGGTAGTATTTTATTGGTCCAAAACTGGCTTCACTGCTCTCCAATCAAATCAGCGGGGTGGTGGGGGAAGCAGGAGCGCCTGGAGGAAACACACGCTGGGACGACCAGTTTGAACCCAGGACCTCCTTGCTGTGAGGCCACAGTGCTAACCACTGGACCACCGTGCCGCCATAAAGGAGAGCAGCGCTGCAGAACCAGCAGGCCCAGGAGGTCAACCACAGCAGAGGTCAGATTTACAACAAACCACATCACCTTCAGGACAAACTTCCCAGTTTTCTGGCCACTAGTGGTTCTAAGGAACTCTAAAGCTGCGTTCACGTTGCACGCCTTAATTCTCAATTCTGATTTATTGCCCAGATCTGATGTTTTTTGAGCGAGTGTTCACATTATTTTTTAAATGTGGCCCATATCAGACTGCAGTGTGAACTGTCTGAACGGCCTGAAAGTGACCCGCAGGCGCAAAAAAGAAATACAGTAGAAAACGAGGAGGCCACAGAGTTCAGCCCGGGGTCACAGTTTTGACAGGGATTTATAACAAATGCTCACAACTTTGTGTCCTTTTCATTCCAGTTTCTGTACAGCTCGAATCAGCCCCGCAACTCTCTCTCTCTCTCTTTCTCTCTCTCTCTCTCTCTCTCTCTCTAGACAAGTAGCACGTGACTCATAGCTCATGACCGGGGGGATTTCAGGTGGAAGAAAGGGAATTCATGAGCAGATGATAACGAGGATGAGGAGAACGAGAGCAACATGTTTGTTATGGTTTTTAGTGCAGCGTTTTTGTTAGCCGCGGCTCCAGCTAGTGCAGAAATGTGACTAGAGTGACGTCAGAGTTCAAAAGATGCGACCTGTATCTGACTTGGACCACCGTGAAAGTGGTTCACGTGACTTGAGCTGCTCACACTGTTGTAAAACCATCTGATCCGAATCACAATGAGCAAAAAAATCGGCCAAAGGTAGCTCAATTTATTTTGTCCCTCAAACTGTTTTGTGTTTAATGAACTTTACAGCCGCCAGAGTGGCTGTGGACGTCAGAAACCTCCCAGAATGCACAAGTATGTATGTAAACACACACTCACATCCAACCAGTGTGCGAGTGGAATACAGAAACAGAGTAGAGAGGACAAGAAAGAGACAAAAGAGTGACGCGCAAGAGAGAAATACAATCAGACAAGATCATTTTAATAGAAGCACAGAAATGCTGCAGGGAAGAGCTGCACACACAGGCAGCCTCTCAGTATGCAGTTTTGCAATAAATGTAGCACCAGAAATAGCCTGAGAGCAGTTAGCAATGAATATTTCAACTAGTCTCTCCCACGTCCTTCTCTCCTCCGCTGTTGCATTTTCTCCTTTTTCTATTTTCACCCATTTAAACTTTCGTTAATCTGACAGCAGTTATGATGTTTGTGAAGTTCGAGATCACCACTTATCTTGAAACAAAAGGGTGTTTTCTCCAGATATCAAGACAATCATCTGGTTATCTCAAGAAATGAATCGGCATTTGGAGACGAGAAGACCAGTTTTACGTTTAATTAGAAGGTCATAGGAGCAGCTTCACAGAGGAGAGACTCAGCTGACATGGTCACGGACTTTGATCAGTGGTATCTTGGGAAAACAAAGTCGATTCCTTGGAAGAATGGGTTAATTACCTTGAGAAAACAAAATGTTGTTCTCTCCAGATAATAATTATTATAATATATTTTAACAGAATGAAATCCAGTGTTGTTTTTTTAACACATTCTCACTCCCGTCTTGTCACACAGAGACTCTTGGTCAAGAACCCTTGGCGTCGTTTTTCGTCGCCCTCGGTACTAGAGTCGTTTTTTTTACCTTTAGGGCTCCGCGGTCAAGTTATCAACAAAAAATATTCAACGTTAACATTGCAGTTGAAGTTGTGTAATGTTGTAATTTGGTTAGGTTTAGGCAACAAAAGTACTTTGTTGGGGGGGTGATGGAGGTGATGGACACATGCTTTTGGTGCGAGAGACTCGGGTTCAATCCCCCACTGTTACACTTTAACCAATGAGCAAGACACTTAACCGTGCTAGTTACTCCAGTGGCGTGCGACCTTTGACATAAATAGCAATTGTAAGTCGCTTTAGATAAACGCCAGTACGCCAGTTAACACGTAAATTAAGTAGTTAACGCGTAAATTAAGTAACGTTACTTGCATAACTTATGCAATTTATGTAACTCAAATAAAAATATTTTATTTTCACACGGGAAACAAACACCGGTCCCCTGCTTCTGCATTTCATTGCTTTGTTCCAGTGACATGCGCAATGACAATAAAGTTGAATCCAATCTAAAGTCCAGTTTCTGGGCCTCCATTCAACCCAAACCACCTCCTTACTTGGGCTTTTCTGTTAAATATCTTACACCTGCCTTTACCGTTCAAACGTACCATCCAAAGTGTGTTACAAACTGGTCTTCACCATACGTCCAAATCTAACGAGTTGGGAGCGAGAATGGGTTGGTTTATTTGGGAGATAATGATATAAATTATATATTATCACAAAAAAAACAACTAAAATTAAAGATTTAAAGAAAACTAAGATTAAAACTTGTCATCATATGGAATCACATTATATTAAAAAGTGTGGATGTTTTCTCATAATAAAGTTATACATGTATTTTTTTCCTCCTTCATTCGAGACGATATTGATGTCAGTCAGTAATGAAACACTAGAGTACTGGAGTAAAAAAAACAAATGGCAATTCAGTCAGATTATCGGGCTACTCAGACCTCCTAAAAGATATGAGTTGTTCAGGCACGTGCATACAAACAGAAGCCTTAACCTTGTAAATCCTCTCACTGTTGCGGTGTTTGATATTAACAGTGGGCTGACAATGAACTTAGATCCAAGCTACAATTACATTGTTTTGGGTAAAAAATATCCCTCTGCGGTGTTTTCTTGTCGTCCTGCTGTGGAGGACGGTGATTAAAAATGGGGAATTCAAAATTAAAAAGACTGCAAGGCTAGAAGATAAGCGCTTTATTTGTATCGCACACTGAGGAAGCTTCATATTAAAGCAACATTATGTAATTAATTCAGCGCTGCACGCGCGCATTTGTTATGATTACATTACTTATGATCAAAAATTAACGAGAAAGTGTGGCGCTCACCAGAAAGTTTCCCACAGGATAGCTTCTCGTGTCCATTAGGGGCTCCGAATCTTTCAGAAGACACAGCGAGGAGACTAAATTAAGTGTTTGAATCTTTGTTCAGATTGTGAAAGAATAAATGGACACAAACTGGTGAAAGAAAGAGCCACGTACACTGCATTGTCAAAAAGAAAAAACAAGCTTTATTTCTTTATTAATCTTATATACAGACATTTACAGCAATCTTTGCTAAAGTTAGTGAAGATAGTTATGGTGATTTCCTGTTGTCTAAAGACAGTGTAACAGAGAGAAGGCACATAATGAGAGACTCTGTCCAGTTCTAGTTCCAGTCTGAGAGAGTATATGACATACAGTAGATATATATATATAAATATATGTATATATGTATTAGAAGAAGCAGGGTCGTCAGTTTGAAACACAACAAAGACACTTCAGCAATCATTTCTCCTGCATTTACTAAACACTAACTAAACTTAACACAATAGAAAAGGTTGCTTTATCTTTACAGTGGTTGGAGATGGGACTTCATATTTAAATCTGCAGATACAGATGATCAACCGCCCAACATGAAGAGGCGATGTGAGAGTTTTGTGAGTAGCCTCTCTTTGCTGCACTTAACCCCTTTTTGGTTTTCAGCACAAAGGCTCTACAGCTCCGAGTTTCTGATGTACAGTGCTCAAACAACACTTTGTTTTGGGCAGATTTCTGGTTGAAAAGCTTTGTGTTTTATTTCAGTATTTCATTATTAATCATACAAAACAGCATCTGCAACCTCATGATAAGCTTTAAAACCCATTATGGTAAATAAACACCTGAAGCCCTAAATGTTTCTTATTCACCTCAGTGGCAAACTACTCTTTGGGCATTTTAGGTAAATTCACTTATCTGAGGCGATTTAGAAGAAAATCTATATGTGCTTACAAAGTAAAATGGCGTTATGATTAGCCTAGCTTAGCACAAAGACGGGAAGCGGGGGGAAACGGCTAGCCTGGTTTCAGAGCTCTGAATGACTTTTGGTGTTGTTCTCAGTGACATATATTTCCACCATTTGAAGAAACAATCGACCAATCAGAGCTTTGTTGGTGGGATTACAAATAGGCATGTAATGCTGCTGCATGGCATCACATACGCTACGTCCGCACTGCAGGCCTCTAAAGCTCAATTCTGATTTATTGCTCAGATCTGATTTGTTTTAAATTGACTGTTCACATAATGTTTTTTAAAAATGTGGCCCCAAACCGTTCTTACTTCCAAGACCAAATGGACGCATGGTAAAGAGTTCTAACACTTAAGCTAAGTGTAGGATGCATAACAGTAACGTCTGAGTAAGGAGGCAGTTGGTGTGGCTGGTGTTCATTTCACGTGTGAAACAAAAAGTCAACACTGAATGTTTTTATTGAAGCTATGTAAGTTATGCAAGTAACGTTACTTAACTTACGTAAGTTTAAATCACATAAGTAACTTTATTTTAACCTTTCCTAAAACTAACCAAATTGCGACGTTTCACAAAGTTAACCACTATTTTTATTATGAAAGTCTAACCGGACATATTTATTGTTGCTAATTTGACACATTTGATGCTTACACAAACTCAAAAGACAACACTTAAGGGCCAGGGTACCCGGGGAGGGATATCGGCCCTCGCTGAAACTGACCTGCAAGCACAAAAGAATAATATGACGTCACTCGCTAACCTGCTGATTTTCACAGGGGGTCACAATTCTCCCAGTTTCCTGTATTTATGACAAATGTTCACAACTTTGTAATTAAGGCAATGAAAAGGTCACAGTTTCTGGCTCTGTACAGCATCTCTCCCTCTACGGTTTCCGTCCAGCCAAGCAGCAGAAGCTAGCTCGCCACCCCCCTGCTTCCAATTTTGGACGCCTCAAAGCTGAAAGTTGATTTCAGGTGGAAGAAAGGGAATTTGTGAGCAAATGGTAACGAGGACCGGGGCCAAAGAGAGCCACATTTTTTATTATACGCAGAACTGACACACCGACATGAGATTGAAATCCATCCCTTTTGAGTATTTGACTTGTGGAAAGAGGGAAAATAAGCGTGGATAATTTAAAGGCTGCTGTCTGACATGAGATGCAAAAAGGTCAAATAAAATAAGGTTGGTTTTCAGTTCACGATCCCAAAAATCCTCAAAATAGATGCTTTAAATTTGTTTTCCTTTACATGAATACAACACATTTAGTAGTTGTACTTACTGGCAGTAACATAATTGTATTCCAAGCAGGTTGAGCAGGTTATGCACACAGATCTCGACCCAGACTACATGCAGATGTTGTGAAAATGAGTGTGAATTATTAATTGACCCATATTACTCTGCAAGGGGGAGGGATGGGAATCTGTTTGTTACCACAGGGCGGATCAACAAGGTAATGTGCAGTCAAAGCAAGAGTGGTGAGGTGAACGTATCGTCTCCTCTTCTTTAGTCCGCTCCTCCTCACAGCCTCAGAGTCAGGATCCCAGTCAGACAGGCTAACAGGAGAGACGGTAAAGATACCGAACCAGCACTCACTGAAATATTGGGGTATATTTTTTCTACCACTTCTCTCTCGGCCTTTTCTTCCATCTTATCTGTAGTTTCCTTTCTCTTCTCTTCCTCCTTCTTCTCCACCACCTCCTCATCCTCCTTCTCCTCTCCCAGTGCAGTTGAGGGCACTTCTGGAGGCGGGGTGGCCGGGGCAGTGGTGGCTGGTGGTGGGGAGTCCTCAGAGTCCCTTGTGGAGGTGGTGGCAGGCTGGACATAAGGGTCAGTAGTTGCAGGAGGAGGAATGACCGCCTCCTTTTCCTCCTCCATCTTTTCTTCTCCCTTCTCCTCCTCTCCCAGTGTTGTTGAGGGTACCTCTGGATGCAGGGGGCCCCTTGTGAAGGTGGTGGCGATGGAAGAATGGACGTTCGGGTCACTAGTCGGGTCTTCGTCTTCTGCTTCGTCGTCCTCAGCAACTACAAAACGCACAACAGGAGACAAAAATTCTTTTATTAACGTCTAATTGTCTCAGGATGACATACGCGCTTTCAGCTAAAGATCATTTCCAAGGGATTAATTTAACTTTTAATTTATAAAATCTCAAGAAATAGTGATCTTCGTCTTCAGATCTCTTTTTTTTTGTCTGACCAGCAGTCCAAAAAAGTTTACAGTTTACACATATGCAACAAAGAAAAGCAGCAAATCCTCATGTTTGGAGCACAAACAAGATGTTTGGCATCTTTAGCTTAATAAATTACTTAAAATATTTACCGATTATCAAAATAGTTGTTGACATAGGTGTCATTTACGCTGGGGACGCTGGGGACCACTTTTTGAAAGCACTTGCTAAACATTTTCTGAAAATTAGCTTGCAACAAGAAATGTTATGTGTGGCCCTGCGATGGACTGGCGACCTGTCCGGGGTGAACCCCGATGTCAGCTGGGATTGGCTCCAGCCCACTTGGAAAATATGCTCTTCAATGTAATTAGAAGAAAGAAATCTGTCTTGTCCAAAAAAAGTAACTGATTACTGCATTATATTCTGAATTGTCACCGGCCACCTGAATTTTGTTTCCCCTCATGTAAATAAAGACATTTCCACCCTAAATCAGTGCAGAAAATGTCTTTCAAATCCAGGAAATTAAGTGTTTAATGCTCAAAATCTTCTGGGAGACCCCCCCCATTGAATATTTCATCAATAAATATTTCTTCTAAATAACATTGGAGTATCTTGTCTTGTTCTTGTGACTCTGTTCATTATCACGGCTCGTGTTTGTCACACCCTTAATCTGAGCCCGTAAATGTCCCCACCACTTTTCAACACAAAGTGACGCCCGTGGTTGTTGATGAATCATAAATCTGTGTGTCTACTTGTTTTTTTGTCTCCCATGTTCATGGTAACGGTAATAACCACAGGGTTAAGGTTAGGGAACGATGTTGGTCATAGTAGTAGTAATATAGCAGTAGAAGTAGCAATGGTATAGTTGTAGTAGTATAAATAGTAGTGGTACTGTAACCTTAGTAACTGTTATATTTTTGGGTTACTTTAGTTTATCATATGGTAATTTATGTGCTTATAAAAGTGTACAGTATACTATGATAAGATATTAGTTGGACTTACAGAGTTAAGTTTATTATTAGACACTGTAAATATTTCATGATCATCTGTAGCAGTCAACTTAAGAAATTAATTCATTTAGACACTGATCAGCCATAAAATTATGACCACCTGCTGCTAGTCATAATGGTAAAGAGAGAATAGGTGTCATTCACTTCCCCTGTCAGTGGTCATAATGTTATGGCTGATTGGTGTATGTGTAACATCCAGGTTGCCCTTTGACTCAGAGCAGGCTCATTTTGGTTCCTGCCTGTCGTTGTTAATGTTGCCATGTCTTGACATTTTGGTGTTGAATTAAATATAAAATTTTAGGACCAGAACTTAACCTTTAAAAGTCTAAATTAAGGTGCAGCAGTACCGTGTTGAATCTGTCTGCGTTGGTGCAGCTGAAACACCATGAAGGAGAGAATGAAAACTACAGGAGTTAAGAGAGCGTGTCGTACCACAGAGGTTGTTTTCACATTTCTGGAAGTTCTCCGGACATCTGGAGCACGAGTCACCTTCAACGTACGGCCTCTCGTCTTCGTAGTTCCCTCTGAGGAAATAAAAGGAGACACACAAAGTATATAATTAAAATATATTATAGTATAAAGTCAAGGAGGTCTAATTTAAAGTCTCACACAGAAATCTTATTCAACATACTGAACACAAATTTAAATAAATATAATTCAATGTATTATTATTAAATACTCATAAACAGGAACACTGTGTGAATAAAAGTACTACTGTCCACAAGGTGGAGCTCTTGTTCTAGTGGCCACACTGGTACAGTAATGAGGGCAGCAGAAGCAGCAGCAGTGTATTAGAAGTATTAACAGGTATAGTTGTAATTGTAAAATAGTTCAGCTAGTAGAATAAGTGGTAGAAGTCGTAACAGTAGAAACACTAATGGTAAAGTACTACTAATAGTGGTGATAGTAATAGTAGTGATAGCACTAGAAGTTGTACGGGTAAAGGTTGGTAGTACAGTAGTAGTAGCAATAGTTCAATTAGTATTAATATTAGAAGGAGTACCAATTATAGTAGCAGCGGTAAAAGTTGTGGTAGTGGTGTTAGTAGAAATAGCAGCAGTAGTCCTGGTAGTAATGGTAGTGCTAATGGTACAGTTGTACTGCAGTGGTACTGACGCTGGGTAGTAGTTGCAGACAAGGAAGGAGACTCTCTCCCAGTCCAGTCCCTCCATGCTGTTACAGAGATGGAAGGCACAGCCGACTCTGTGTGTACCTGCCCACACCATCTGTAACACACACAGAGTTACGCATCCAGCACTGAGATACACGTGTGTGTGTTTGTGTGTGTGTGTGTGTGTGTGTGTGTGTGTGTGTGTGTGTGTCTGACCTGTGTATAGTGTCCACACATTTTGTCTTCGTCACAGCTGTTGTTTTGGAAGTCATAGTCCTGGCGTTCTGCAGGAATCAATCACATTACAACACGTTTCATTAGCCTTAACCAGTGGATATTTTATTCAAGTAAAAGCTGTACACAGTGAAAAATACTCCATTACAAGTCCTACATTCATATCTTTACTGCAGAACTGTCATCAGCAGCATCCAAGAGGGTGAGGGCAGGAAAATAATGGTGGCGACACACAACATGTTCGGACACTTTGGGCCCAATTAGGACATTTTCACTTAGGGCTGTACTCACTTTTGTTGCCAGCAGTTTAGATATTAACGGCTGTGTGATGTGTTATTTTGAGGGGACAGCAAATTTACACTGTTATACAAGCTGCACACTCACTACTTTACAATGTGTCATTTCTTCAGTGTTGTCACATGAAAAGATAGAATCAAATATTTACAAAATGTGAGGGGTGGACTCACTTGTGTGAGATACTGTGTATATTAATTTGTACTGTGTAAGCAAGCAGGAAGCTTCCAGTCTGAGACGTGAATCCAATGCGTAAGTCCCTTAAACCTGTATTCTCTCTAACGGCCAGCAGGGGGCGACTCCTCTGGTTGCAAAAAGAAGTCCGGCTCCATTAGAAATAATTTTAAAATGTTTCTACTTCTCAGCTGATTTATTCCCTCAGTAAACACTTTCCTGATGAGTTTATGGTCTCAGTCACAGCATGATGTTCATTTAGTAAATTATGGTCCCATTTAGAGGAAAAGACCGGCGAAACACAGAGCGGGATTATCTGTGATTGACAAATCGTTACCATGGCGACCTGTCAATCAGGCTAGAGTGACCCACGGCGCTGTGTAAATTTAACCAGCGGCGTTGAAAAAGCGTATTAGGAGTCACTTTCTCTGGTGAGAACATTTAGTTTTAATTACAGATGCACCTAACTAAGCTAGCTAGCTCCTGACGCCCCCTATCGGCCAAACTCGAGGCTTCAAAACGGCGGTCCACAAACCAACGGGTGACGTCACGGTGACTACGTCCACTTCATTAATACAGTCTAAGACTGTAAGCAGCATTTAAAATGTGTAATTAACGAGTAACCTGGGTATTTTTTACCTGGATTTTCCGAGTGTTTGTGTCTGTGAGACTAACTGCGACAACATCTTTTTAATTGGTCGGCAGCAGTGAAACAGGGCGACAATGTGATCCTTGCAGTTAAGTGGCAAAATGCTCGTTTTTGCCGCTGACACTGTCCTAGATTTCGCTTTCAGCAGACACTGAGATGACGATCACGATCATCCCATTAAGAGTCGTGTTTATGTCACCTGAAGAATGTCTGTCCAATATTCACTCTCCTTTCAGCTAAGTTTTTGGTTGTCGCCAAGAAAAATATTTGATCTTTCATATTCCCTTTAGCTGCTAGATGTTCCACTATGCTCACCAGATAGTAGCGAACTTTGTCGTTTTTTCAAGATGGAGGACCAGCTGCTGTAGAGTTTGGTTCCACAAACAGGACCCTGCACTCTGATGAACAAACTCACCCATATACCATTTCTCCAGAGCCACTCGGAGGTCCAGAGCCCCGGTGCCGGCGAACAGATTCTCTCCAGTGTCTTCCAGTTCCGGGTTGTGGTTCCAGATACATTTAGTAGAGTAGCCCTCTGCGATCAACTTCAGACTCGGGTCCCATTTCTGCACAGAACCAATGAAAGAAGAGAACAGGTTTTGCTACGAAATACTGGAAAAGTTGTCAGTTTTCATTTGTGGTGTGAAAGTAAAGCAGAAATTTCTAACTGTGAGAACAGACACAGCGAGTTGCAGACCGGTAGAAGAGTCTACAGCCATGCATTTGAAACAAACCTGATGGCGGTCGTCATTGGACTGCTTGATCACTGTCAATTCAATCAATTGTGAACTGTCAAGAAAGTGATGTCTCAATGCAACATACAGCGATCAGCCAAAACATTTTGATCACTGACAGGTGAAGTGAATAACACTGATTATCTCATTACCATGTCACCATTATGTTCTTATTGTAGTTGATGTGTTAAAAGCAGGAAAAATGGTCAAACTAAGGATTTGAGTGACTTTGACAAGGTCCCAACTGTGATGGCTAGAAAACTGGGTCAGAGCATCTCCAAAGCGGTCTGCAGGGGTCAGTAGGCTACCTATCAGAAGTGGTCCAAGGAAGAACAGATCCAACAGACGAGCTACTGTCGGTGAAACTGCTGGAAAACTTGATGGTTCTGATGGAAAGGTGTCAGGAGTTCATGCCTCGACGGGTCAGGGCTGCTTTGGCAGCAAAAAGGAGACCTTTATAATGACCAGCCGGTGGTCTTAATGTTATGGCCGATCGGTGTAAAGATTTGTACCAGATCTTTTGTTCCAAAAAAGCTAGTGAGCTGTAGTTTATTTTGCCAGTAAGGGAGTACAAAATCCCGAGTTCCAATTTATAATTGAATGCAGCAAATCCAGACTCCAGACACTGATTTACACGAGGATGAGGAGGAGCGTAATCAATGAATCATCCCATGTTGTGAAAAGAAGAGGGGAAACCCTGGTGTTCTGGTGCAGAAAGAAAACACACAGATCCTTTCATGTAAAATGTGTTGCAGAGATGTTTTATACCCAGCCCACGTTACAGAAAAATCCTTATGAAGTTGTTATATTATATTATATACTATATTACTATTGTTCATGAGATGAAACTGGTTGTCAAACCCGCTTTAATTTGTGTGATCATATTATTGTGTAGCTGTTTGTGATTTATTATTAATTTATGGGCTGTAAAGAACTCTAAAGTTATCTCAGGGAAGGCACAAATACTGTAGAGTTGTATAATTATTACATCTAACATGTTTAATGTCTCTGTATTTTAAAATCAAACACAGATCTTTGGCGCTGACTTCAGATGATTCAGTTAAGGGATTATTTTTTATGGATGTTTGGCTTCACTGCAAGTAAAGTTGTTTTGACAGCCTCTAGTTAGCAAAGCATTGTAGAAAATTATGTGACATTTAATATCATATAAAGGAAATGAGCAAAAGACAGGAAAAGGAAAGTAAAGAAACATTTTGAAACGCATTGCGTTTGACCCTGACTCTCGGATCACCATAAACATGGCTGAGTCAGGAAACCGTTACTGTCATGAGCTCATTCAGTTTCTGTTCTTTCTGTGCCGTTTCCTTCACGTACAGAAACAACGAGGTGCTATTACTGTAACAAAGCATGTTCTATGAGCTCAGTACGATGTCCTCGTCACACACTTATCCATGACCTGACCTCTGACCCCGACCACAGCCTGGCCCCTTCGTCAGCCTGCCTGTCTGAGGTATGTGTTTCCTTCCCATCATGCATGTGGGTTTAACCTCACGGCAATTTCCTCTTCAGAAACTAAGGTGGTGGGGAAAGTATTTAGATCTGTTCAGCTGTACGTGTTGCCGACCAGCTTGGCAACATGGACTGGAGCGAGAGTTTCAGAGCGGTGAGTTATTAATCTGTATCCATAAAGTTTTAGCTGAGCTCTGTCTCTACATCACAGGAACAACTTTATCATGAAAGTGGGGTCTGGGGACCCCAGGGGTCCTTGAGGGGGTTCCCAGTAAAAAGCTGAATCATTTCTTTTCATTAAATTTCCATCCATGAGTAATACAGTGACAGAGTATCTGAGTATTTTGGTCATGGGCTTCACACATTTCCTGTAGGGCTGGACAATAAAACAATAACAATAATTATTGCAATATAATTTTTTTCAATAACAATATTACAAATGTTCAATAAATATTCAATGTGTGTTTGATTTTATTCATGTGAATCATACACAAATTAGTACTTAATTTTTTAAGATTTTTATTTTGTTGAGGAAAAAGAACTGAAAAAAGCTTTTACTTAATTTTACTTGTGCATATTTGTTTACAGAGATTTTATCATAATTGGTTTGAATGTTCCACCTCAGATTTGTGAAGGGATCCACTGTTTGGCCTCAAGTGATGACTATAAAGAAGAGTTTGAAACCACAATAACAATCAGGTTTCTTCAACTTTCACTCAGGAGCAAAAATCAGCCCTTAAACTCAAAAGAATTAACGATTTGATACTTATCGTGATAATTATCGATATCGAAAGATATGAAACTTTTTATCATGATAACATTTTTGCCCATATCGTCCAGCCCTAACTTCCTGCAATAAAATATCTAAAAGCCAAAACCCTGTCTGATGGGTCTCCGTGGTCTAGTTTGTGTCAGTTTGGGGGGCCTCAACGTGAAAAGGTTTGAGAACCACTGTTGTAGATGACTTACATCACATTACATATGTACTGCAGTTTGTCGCCTAAGCTTAACCAAACTACGTGACTTACGTAACGTGCCGAAGGTCCAGTACAGCTGGGCTGATACTTGCCAACACGAGTACGTTTTGTTTCGGAGAACAGACACATATGTTTTTAGTGCTGGGCAACTGTTAAAAAAGTTAATCGTGATTAATTGCATGATTTTCTGTGATTAATCACATAGTTATGCACAAAATTGAAAAATGAATTCTAAAGTAGTTTATTGTGCACTTTAAATTTAAATGTACTGCTATATACACAAAAGTGCATTTACATGTGGTTTGCAAACACTAAGGTGCTTTTTCCCAGCAGTATTCCCTTTACACAGCAGCAATAAAATATTTCTTGTAGATCTCAACTTAAACATTAATGTGATCAAATATAAAACCAAAGCTGTTTAACGCTGCCAGGGCGTTACCTTTTATCTAGCTTCATAAAACAAGTTAGAGTCCAGAGCCACGATCAGAACATCAGAACAGGCTCCTTCTGAGCAGCAGGTCAACATTTATAAATCTGTTTTCAGGTATCAGCAGACACATTTTTCTTTTCTCAGGGAGCAGCAGAAACAGTCTGTGTCCCTGTTAGAGTGAGGGGAAGTGGTCGCCTCACGCACACGCCCGCCAGCCGCTGAAGTTGAATTGTATTGAACTTTTCATATGCGACGCGGAGCACAAATCATTGGAAGAGAGACTGATCCTCGCTGTTGGGGAGTTGGGGAGCTCTGATGTCTTCTGAGAGTTTAAAACTCAAAACAAATCTTATATTTGTTGCTGCCACATTAGTTTGTCTGAAGGTAAAATTACGCTCCTGTTTCTAACAGCGCTGCATCTGTGGGTTATTATAATTTTTTGGCTTCTTACCTGTACAAATTTCAATTCAAGATAATTTTACTATAAAAACAAATTCAATGAACAATGAAGAGAGGAAGTGTATTTTATTAGATTTGGTTGCTGTACAGTCCACTGATGAGAACGTGTACAGGTGTGTTAAAGTCTAATCACATACATTCAGGTGAAGCTGACTACTTTAAAAAACAAATTTATTCCATTTAGGTGAGCCGGTTCCTGGTGTTGTGCAGGCCGGCTCACCAGGACACACGATGGAACCGAGCCGTCGTTAACAAAATGTGTTTCGCCTGCTTTTCCTGCTGTTTTGAGCAGAGTGGCTGCTGGGAACAGGCCTATAACAAACAGAGTTACTGAGTTCAAACTCCCGAGGATGCAACTGCAAACTCGGTTAAAACTGGAGTGTTGATGTTTGTTCATGTCTGACAAGTTGCCAGATCTCAGGAAAATGTCTGGTCATCAGTATCACAACAACAAACTTAAGTTATTCAATAACTCTTTTCTTTTTTTTTTAAGTATCTGAAGCATTTCTGCATCAGCAGGGTTGTGAAAGTAGGTAAAAGTTGGGTGTTGCAGCAGGAAATAACATGACGCAGTAGGAAACAGTACAAAGCAGCTGATTGATTGTTGCAGTGATTTACAAGTTCTTGTCACCAAATCTCATGTGCAGAGTCAAAGCAGCAGTGAATGCTGAACGTCCTGTATCACAGCCAGAATCTATTAAAACCCATCAGTGAGCCTCACTGCTGCACTGTCTGACATGTTCCTTCATCACCGTGAACACACACCGTCACTAGCTACAGCACCACATTTAGATTCATCCGCCGCTGAAAGTAGTCCCTAACAAATGCTGTGTTTCCTCCTTTGTTTGATTCTAAACTACAGTGAGCAGCTGTTTTAGGGAATACTGAACCAAATGGGCCCGCAGACAGGAAGGCTTGGGTATCATTTTAATCTTATCGATTCTGATTCCACTTATTAAATCTCAGTTCTGGTTCCTTCAGCACAGATCTCCTTCCTCCTCTTCCTCCTCGCTCCTCTTCCCCTTCATGGCTAAAGTGAAAGGAGTCTCTGTCCTAGAGCGGCGTCTCTGGGTCTCATCTGGAGCCATCGTCGGTTTCCCTTCAGTATAGAAGGTGAACGTCAGCTCACCTGTGTTTTGTACCTGAGACGTTGCTGCTGTTAGCGTTAGCTGGATCTGGGAGAGCGCGACACGTTGAACACGGTGAAGCGTTCCTTCAGATAAACGCCGTGTTGAAGGAAACGCTTCGTCATGTAGGAGCTGCTTCCTCCCTCGCACCAAACCTCCTGACTGCAGCTGGTGCAGTTTTTTTAGTGAAGCTGAGCCAAACTTTGAAGCGTTTGCTGCGGCCCGCCACGGTCCAGGACCGGAAACAGAAGGACTCTCTTCTTCAGGCTTTGTTGACGTAACACATGAGGAGACGTTAGGTCGGCGTAGCAGCTCCTGGCAGATCAGAGACACTTTGATGGACTGAAAAATGCTCACTGCAGTTCAGTC